TGCGCATCGCGCAGCGTGCGTCCGCGCTAAATCAAATCGGGGGAAAATACTTTCGGAAGGACACGCGCTCGCGGAGCGCGAGCGTGGGAGCTTATCGGCCCGTGTTATTTGCCGGACGGGGGGGCGGGCCGATTAACGCTACACGATAATTAATACGGGAAATAAAATGAAAATGATATAATAAAGTGCCCGGCGCCGCGGTAAATATTCCCCGGAAAAATAGCCCGCGGGATAACCCGCTCGTTTCCGTTGTTACGACGCGATAGTTTGTTATCGCGATTTCCACCGAGGAGATTCGGCAACATCTCCCCGTACATATATATTTTTTTCTTTCATTTTTATCATTAATCCACGACATTCTCTCAAATTTCTCGCGTACGCGCGAGAGAGAGCGCCTCTTTATAGCCGCCGGCGTTGATTACGCCTGCGTCTCGAGGCCATATCGGCCGTAAGCGTTACACACTGGCGCTGTTTATACGCTAACAATAAGTAGGCGATCGTCGAAACCAATACGGAATCCTACGTCATCGCGCAAGTGGGCAAACAAAAAGCGGGTAATACGGTAGAGCGTCTGCTATTAATGCCGACATAATGGTAACTCCTGTTGCCGTTCCGTTGTAAAAAGTCTGTTAATACCAATAGGCGCTCTCTCTCTCTCTCCCCCTCCCCCTGTCTCTCCGTGTCTCTCCCTGTCTCTCCCTGTTTCCCCCCCTCTCTCTCTCTCTCTCTCTCTCTCTCTTTCTCTCTCCCACCCACCATTACAATGTGGCCGGTCGGCCTTAATGTAATTGTGTCCGGAGGTTCAAGCGATATGGCATGTATAAAATCCTGCGCCATCGTGTGTCGTGTGTCCACGTAGCCGGCGTGACGTAAGCACAGCTTGGCCAACGTGTAAGCTTTATTAACTCGCCTCGAGTACTGCCCGACACTTAAAATCAATTAGTGGTACGCGTCAATTAGAAAGTCGGCCGCTTCATTCCGAGTCCGAGTCATTCGTCGGACGACAAGCGCGGCCGTTTCGACGCGGAATAATACTCGGGGATGACGAAATCCGACATGGCTGGTATGAAATTTTAGAGGCGGCAGTAACATCGTATTTTCTGTATATGACGACGAATTCCTCGGAACGCCGACCGGCCGATCGGTCGATAATATACAACCCGCGATCAATCAGCACGTTGAATGAACGCCGGCAGTTTTATCTATTCGGGCTCTGTTATCTGAAAGTCCTCCGATAATTCCACAAGTAAAATCAAGTCGGGGATCCGTAATTTGTTTTCTCGATACTAGCCATTAATGCGATAACAATATTAATTTATTCGTCGTGCTTCCTGTTAGACTTTCGTCCTCCAGCCGGCTTGGACCACTCGGCTGGAGGAAAGTCCAACTACGCGGAAACACGACGTACAGAACGTTGTTTCGAAAAGGCGGTGATGAGGGCCGATCAAGAGCGAGTGCACGCGGAGGAAACAGGTTCTCGGAGAGACACCACCGACAGCGAATTGTTGACGACATCGCGACGATATGTCCAGGTGATCGATTGTGTCTCGATCGTGTAGAAAGGGGAGGATCTTCGTTGGCGATGACTCGAACGTCACGTTATTATGCAAATCGAACCGGAAGTTCTTCGTGGGCTCGAACGCGTAAGGATACGGTCTTGCCACGACGATTCTGTGGGATGAATCGCTTCGGTAAGATTTTCGAATCGGTGCGCACAAAACGGACGCGCTCACACACGGCGGATTTTAGCGAAAATGTCCAACGCAGAAGGGACTTTTTGAGAAATTTAAATTATATTTATTTATACATATTTGTGACGTAAAATCCCGTTAGACAGAGAGACAGGAAGTTATCAAATTATATGTCGCATAATACTGTTTTATCTCAACAATTATATTTAATTGTGATAATTGCGTTATTCCCCTGCGTGATATTATTTTCATTTTTGTCCTTTTGATGTCACGGTTTGTCAAGGAAAATCTAATAATTAGCATTGCATAAATATTAATTATTGTTTCTTTCATAATTCAATACCGCATTGCAGTTATTTATATATTTTTTCGAAATCCAATTTTCTCTCTCTCTCTCTCTCTCTCTCTGTCTCTCTCCGAGAGGATAGCAGCGCGCAATCGCACTTGACGATTTTACGATGATTTGTAACGTCCGGATTTATGAGGCAATAACCGGTCTAATTGCTGTGCGTCTGTTCGCGAATCAATTAGAGTATATAATTACTACTAGAGTCATAATTTCGCGATTGCGCGAAATAAGACTCACTTTCGTCTACTTATGCGCTCTAGCAGAAACGAGGAGAGGGGCTGCTTCGTTAAAACGATTCAAGGAAAATAGAGTGGTTAGAAATATAAAAATCGTCCCTTTTTCAGTGGGAACAAATTTGTAGGATATTTTGCACGAGGCATCCGGATGTATATATTGCGAACTCGAGAAATATTAATTGAAGCGTCAAGAAAATGGTGTATTGATTTTTAAAAGAATAGCAACAGAAGCACCAACGTTTCCATACTAATATACATGCATACATCTCCGTCTTTTACATCTATATATAGAGTACATTTACATAGAAGACCTATATTTATGTTTATTAAACTTTCTTAATCCAGTATTATTAATATCCAAGCTCTTCAATTTCTCAAACGTTTTAACAGATTATGTCCGGCAATATTGGGTTACAAACACCAAATTCATTATTTATAATTTGTAATTGTTGCTAAATGCATTAATAACACAACTGTAAAATTAATATGTTATTAAATTTACGGTTTCCGGGAATGCGAATTGCAGCACAACAGGAAGTGAAACATTACGAGTTTGTTGTGCCATGCGTTATCTCATTTTTTTTTCAACCGAGATATCGAGATAGACGGGAAACCGCGACCTACGAATTCTTCGCGGCGCGGTATCCACCTCCCGCCTGTCCTTCCTCGCCGAGAAAGGCTCGCTTTCTTTCAGCGGATTTTCTTTTAGTCCCTTCTGGCAATTTACGTTCTACCCACCCGCCGGAACGGCACACAACTCCGGCCCCCGTTCAAATCATAATACCGGGAGACCGTTCCCTGTCGTTTGTTCACGCAAAACACACAGACACCTGCTAACCGGTTGCAGAAAAAATGACGGCGATCGGCAAGACATTAAAGGAACACTTTGACCCCGGCTACAAATTGAAAGAAAATTAGGGCACGCGATAATAATCGGCACGTAAGATGATTCTTCTGTTATTTTTATCAGCTTCTCGAAGGAGCTGATAAACTTATAATTTTTTTTTAAACACATTTAGGTGACGTTACGCCAAATTTGCAAAACGTTTGGAAGAGAAAAGTAAAACGAAATAAGATATGTGGCGCGGTAATCAATATATTAGGAAGGTGATTTCATCTTAAGTAATTCTGTCTCATTATTTCTAATTTTTCACGCAACAGCAGGCATGTCTGTAAATTTTCGGTCTTATTCGCGAGAAGTCTTATTATAGAAAGTTAAAACGTCAAGTTAAAACTCACACCAGCGTCACTGACTACACCCATTAACGATCCAAGATTAGCGGCCGATCTGGAGGTAGAAATTATTACTGGAGCAGCTAAAATTAATGATACGGCTCCAAATTCGACTACGTATGACGCAGTCACAGTCGTCAATAAATACCGTGTCAAATATTTAAGCCCGGCGCCTGCATTTTGACAGGCCAGAACAATCGCAGCGGATGATGTAAGTAATTTGGAAAAACAAATATTGAGCAGAATAAGGTGGGACTATTTGCGTCGTGTAATATATTGTCTCGTACTGGGGACAATACGCTCGCTCCACCGTAATAGCCATTCAAGCTTTACGAAATAGAAATTGCGACATAGATGATCTTGACGATATCGGTTTCCGTAAATAAAGGGGGAGTAAGCGGTGCACTTTACGATTATCAGCTTTGATTTTGTTACACCATCGCAGTGTTAGCATTTCCACAGACGTATTGTGTCATACGCGACCCTGACTCGACTTTCCTACTTTACGATCGAGTTACACATCGCTCGCACATGCAGTGACCGCTAAATTACATTCCTCGACTCCTGTGATTTAATAACGCGTCGCTGCGAAATCCACCAGGTCTTACAAATTTGCGCTAAAGTTGAAATACTAACCCCCGGCTGAGGCTGATATTTCAACCGAAATAACAAAATTACTCCTTGTAATTCACCTGCGCGTCAATTGTGCGATATTAATGGAGAGTAAAATCACGCGCTTGACAAGCATCTCCTAGCATAGATAGGTGTAAAATAGCAAAACTATTCGTATACTCGTATATTGTATATTAGTATCGTAACCCACAACTAAAACTAGTAAAGTTATCACAAAACCGTAACTAATCAAATACTTGTAACATTTATCGTGTGCAATAAAGTAAGTTAAGTAAGCATTTCCTCATTTTTTCCAAAGTGTCGAGATTTTACGGGCGTCATAAAAAACGCACGCACAGTTTTCTTAATATCGATTACGCTCCCTTTTCCCGCGACCGTTATCACACACCAAAGAATATTTATAGTGCCGGAACGTCCATGAATGACAAATAAATGAGGAATGCAAAATTAAATTCGATGATTATTGGAATGAACTTTGACCTCGACTCAGGAGCTCGCTAAATAATTTAGCAGTTCCGCTTCCGTCGACTGCCTGCCGGCTTTATATCTGTAGCTCAACCTTTCCATGACTGCTAGGACGCACGAGTCTCACTTATATTTTTTGCTTCTCCGGTACTTTCGGGCGCCGGTGTCCCATTTACAACACAGTACGCGTCTGGGCGCGTATAATTGCTTCAAACTGAAGAAACGCCCGAATCACTGTGTTCACAAAAGAATTAAGGAATTTACAAGACCGAGCGCAATATGCAACTCTATTGGCGAAAGCAAAAGACACTGCGTCGCGACGTAAAGTGGAAGGTGACCCGGTCACGAAAGGGTTGAGGGGCTTTAAGTGAGCGTAAGGACTTGAGCACTGACCTTGAGCAGGTTTCGGAAGTACGGGCTGCACGCCGAGAGAACGATCTTGTGCGCGGTGAAGCTGCAGCTGTCGCAGGCGAGCGTGACGTCTACGAAGTCTTCCACGTCCCTCAGCTGACGTACGGAGCTGAGGATGCTTGACTGAAAGTCGTTCCATCTTAAAGAGTATTGCTGCTCTCCGCCGGTCGATGAGGTCGTAGAAGCCGCCATGGCGTCCGTCCCCCTGGGGCTCTCGATTCGCGGTGCTATCGTGCTCGCGCGCGCGCGCGCGTCTTGTCACGCCACCCTCGGATCCGGACACCGCACCCCACGTTCACAAGTCTCTCAGTTCGCACACTCAACGCTTCCGTTCTCCAATCTCTCGAAAGTCGCCCGACTCAATCGCACCCGAATTTACACCCAGAGAGAGAGAGAGAGAGGGGGAGAGAGAGAGAGAGAGAGAAAGAGAGAGAGAGAGAGATATATCGAGTCACGACGACTGACCTGGTCGTAGTATGCAATTGTTCGATGCCTCGGTAAACAGATGGTCACAGGTACCGCTTCGCGCAATAGCCGTCGTCGGGAGTGAGAGGCCAACAAATGAAAGCTAAGCGTCCAAATAAAAGTAGGTATAGGGGAAACTTCGCGTGCACCACGTTGAAGAATCTCATAGTACTTGGATCATGATAGAAGTGGCACCTGGAAGCGCGCGGTAAAACGTCGGACCGAGACCACAAAATGATTGTGTCGCTATGTGTATTCGGCGAGTGACGCTATTGCTTATTTTGGTGGTTCGTGGCGGCGTCCTCTACTGTTTCTGAAAGTGTGGCAATATCTCCTGTTAGCTACACGGAAAACAAATAACGGCTACGTGTATGTACGTGCGTACATACAATACAGAGTAAATAAATAAAACGTTCGCCCGCGATCGACGCTCTCGTGTCTTCGAGAGATCGTTGGCGAAAGCGTATCTGCGATATCGACATCGATTATTATTCGATGCTTATTTCAAACACAAATGTTCCTTTTAAACTCACACGTCTTCTTATATGTTCGTACTGATATTAATTCAATTCTCGAGTATTTCGTATTCGAAGCATTAAGAAAATCTCTCTTTCTTTTATTCTCTTAATATACTGCGGTCGGTATTCACAGTCTGTTCTTATAATTAGGGCCACCTTAGTCTTAAGCCTAATTTACAACGTGCTCGCTCTCTCTGCATCTAGAAACATTCTATTTTATATAAATAAGCGAAACGCTTAAAAAATTTGTCGACAATATACGGTTGCACAGCGTGTAATATGCAATTTATCCACTTACGCAATTTTTTTTAAACGTATTTATTGACTACAAAATAGAATGTTTCTATACGCAAAGAGTACATTGTGGATTAGGCTTTTAATGTGTTGCAAAGCCATATTTATATTTCTGCAAGAATATGCAGTCGGATGCGATTGTTGAATAAAAATTGGGAGAGGTGAGGAATGCGAGGGACGCGAACATTAAAAGTGCTACTTTAGTTGCTCCGCATTTGTCGTATGTATACGTTAGAAAATTATTTGATCGGATGGGCGCGGTGGAGATCCCAACTTGACAAGTTTCTCCGTTTGGGCGACCGTCGTCTTGGCATATTTTTTTAGGTCTGTCTGTAACTAAGACAACTGAGAAAAACCGGACGTTACTTAAGACAACTTTAATAAGGACGGACCATGAATACCACCGGCCTATGTATGTCACTAGAATTTCAATAGTGACTGGATAAAATCAAATTTATTTACTCTGTATTGTCTTTTTATTAACATTATTACACATTCTTGCAGTATACTCTGTTTATTATTATATTGTATTAAATCTTTCTTCTGTTTGAATGTTATATATATATAAAATTCTCGATAATCTTTCTTTAAAAATGCGTTAATATAGGAAAATAGGTTCAAGATTAAGTTGACGCGTTTATTATAATTTACGTATTGCGCATGCTGTTATTGGTAATTGACGTATATAGGTAGATGAAACTTTTATGCAGTTCCCGGGAATCAAAGATTACATTTTTAATGGTTACTGACTGGCCAATTGTCCATGAAAATTTAAATATGTAATTCGTAACGAACGCATTATGCATTACATTTTTAATATCGGACTCGTTGGAGACGATTAAAATTTAAAATTTAATGCGCCACTCGTAATGAACAAATTAGGTATTATCTTGCCAATGTAAAACTCGCCGCTAATGGAATTGTTCAATCGACCTTAGCGTGCGCAATCGTCCGATGTAAAATATTTGTATTTTTATTTTTATTTATTTCGTTAATCTTTCGTTAGCAACGCCAACACGTTGTTTATGCCGAAATCGTAAAAGCCACGGAAGCTCCAACGAATAAAAATAGTCATCCGTTCAGTATTCACGTTCAGTGAAGTCCATAACAATTAAAAAAGTTAATATACTCAAGAATGTTTATTATGCCTTGCAATTTATTAAATAAAAAAGGTACACGGTGAAAAAGTCAGATTGCATCTACATTATATAGAATTTCAATCAAATGTCCAATAATTTACAATAATGTTTATACAAATCTACAAATTTCCACCATATAAGTAAGAATATTAACGTAATAATTTTGTGTTAAGAGAAATAAAATACATTTAAATATTATACAAAAATAAATAAATTAACGTAACGCACACATTAAAGGCCTGAAGATTACGAAATCAATAATTGAATACAAAAAGTCGACGTAAGATAAAAATGCGTTTTTAATAATAAAACAATTTAATGTAATATTTAATCCATTTCTACCCGTATTACATGTAATACGAATATGATATTTCAACCGATATGATTCTGAATTTAGGAACCTCTCGCTACAAAAAAGAATTTATTTCAGAAATAACTTATATAAAAATTAATTGACGTCTACGTCAAAACCATTAAATCACTGAATAATTGTATAATCCCTTTTTTCCTGTTGTTAAGTTTAAAGTTTCCGAAATTAATATCTCGCATTGAATGCACGCTTGAAGTACTGTGATACTGGTTTATCTTATTAACACAGTACGCGCCGTATAAAGAAAACAACTTGCTTGCCGACGATACAAACTTTGAAATCAATTATTGATTTTAAAATGACAAAAACTTAATGTTCCTCTATTTCAATACTACATAAAAACTGTGACGATAAATAATAAGAAATAATACCTTAAAGATGTCCGGCGTTGAACTTTTCGGATGCTTCTTCTTTAGTTTGACCAAATAGTACCTGATACTGTAGTGCGAAAGTATAGTATCTGCTGAATAGTTCCCCGAAATTTAAGTATTCAAATACCCTTTTTATTTTGATTATTTGGCTCGTGTAATATTGATCAGATATTTTTCGAGGAACTATTTGCATTACCATCCCGGTTTCTGGTTTGTAAGCTGTTAACAAACCATAACACGTTGTTAATTTTTGGTAATTTCTAAATTAACAGAGACGATAAAAGCAGAAAGTCATGTGTTTAAATTTTCATTTATTATGTGATATTGATGACATATCTCTCTCTCTTAGAATACTTTCTTAGAATCTCTTTCCTTTTGTGTATATGCATATACGAGGGTGAGCCAGAAATTATCTGCACTTTTCGTTCTACAATTTATTTGCACAAAAATATGATGTACATATTGAACCCCTATTTTTGTGTAAATAAATTGTAGAACGAAAGGTGGAGATAATTTTTGACTCACCCTCGTATTTGCTCTGTTTCCATTTGACTTTTAACATTGTCACTCAATAATAGTGATTATTTTATACTCTTTCACACATGTTCTATATAATAGTATACTTTTGGAGTATTTACCGTATGGTATGTAGTAGGAATCAATTGTAGATCGAATTGAGAAATAAATCTTCTCTTTTTCTCTCGCCCCTTCTTAATGTTTAACTCTTCCTCGGAGATGTCAGTGTATATCACTTTTTCGCGCATACCGAAATGTTTGCACCTTCCGCCCTTCTGCGTCGCGGCCGACGCGCTAATCCGACATCCAGTGCCAGAAAATGAGCCTACAAAGGTTCTCCTTCGCTCTTTTATCTTTAATATTAACGACTTTATCTTAGCCTGGTGTTCTTGCTTACCATTCCCCCTCCGGTTCTTATTCACTTTTTACTTTAGCTTTATTTCTCTTTTCGTTTATTTCTTTTGTTTCAGGCTACGCCCTCTTCTTTCCTGTAACAGATATACAATCAGTAAATTAAATGCCTCGGATTCATGAAGTGATTATCAAGAATACATGATTTTCAACGATCGAATCTTGAATTGGTAAATTTATCTTTGAATGTTGACTTGGATAAGATGGATGCTTGTTTGTTTGACGTACTGATTAGGAATTATTTTCTTTATCGTTAAATGTTGTAGTATGAATTATTATAACGAAATGAAAGATTTCGATGCATTAAATAATCTTTTCTACTTGATTAATTGCATCATTCTTTTACGAATGAGGATGCAGTGCTACAATGTTAATCAAAATACAGATCGAAAGAAAGACTCGTTCTGTTTCTTTTATGTTCTGTTTATTAATCAAAGTTGCATTCGAAGATCAATTACGATTAAAAAGAAGAATGACGATCGAAGGAAAACTTTGTGCACGTATAACGTTTATCAAATCTTTTTGACTAATATATTTCGGTTTCGCCCGAATTTGAGTCAGTTTGTGGCACCGCCAAGAAGCGATAAAAAAAAAACTTAAAAAGCGCATACGCTATATCTACTTGTTTCTTTGACCGTACAAATGTAACCAATATTAACCGGTCTATTCACAAAAATGCTTTACAACGGAATCTTCCGAACATCATTCGGTTTACGAGCGTTTTATCCGCGGTCTCTTCGCTCGACCGAAATGCCGGGGCTCTTGATTTTTCCAAACTTTTACAGGCCCCGCGACACTTAATGTTCGGTTGGATGCACACGCGCGTTATGCGTTCTTCCTAATGATATACGGCCGATAACGGTACAACTGCCCATAGGTCTGTAATCGACTACATAAACGATTCAAAAAATTCCCGTCAGGATCGTTTCGCAGGACTCGTTTAACGCTGGACGCCGATCGGCTGACGGAACACTTTACTATGAGGCTCCGTTGCATATATGTTGCATTTATGCAATATTGCAATATTGTTGTGCTCGTAAGTCGATTTGTATATTTCCTTCGTGCAGTTTGATTTTACGCGATTAAAAATAATGCGAACATCTGCAATTCGTAGGTTTTGAAAATCTCCGAAATTTTTGTCTACCTCGTGAACTTCTCGTGATTATTGCATTAATAAAATTTTTTACGTTTACATAACAAAGGACTGCAAATGACATTACACGGCGTCGCTGCGTACATACATCGAGCACGCACTAACTGCGTGCGAAAAGAAAACGATTATTTCTAATGCTGGAAGATTTCTCTGAACGCGTGCGTGTCTTATACGATCGCAATTACTGTACGATTGTACGATAAGACGCTCCTCACTTGCGTCATACACGGAAGAATCGTCAAGAATTATTTTTCACTTACAAACCCCTAATTGTAAATCATTCTGCTTTTACGATCGGTAGTAAATATTTCTTCCCGTCGTACATCGATTACTATAAATATAAGCGCGATATACGTCGCGCTCGCTCTCTTCTATTTCTCCGCGCGCAATTCCTTAACACGTTTCGCACGTTACCAATAAAAGACATGGATTCAAATCGCACTTCCGCTTCTACAAATATATATTTACATATATCTACATATGTACGTGTGTTACATCTGACAGTGATTTTCCACAGATAATTTATCGCAGCAGACAAATTCTCTCGATCGACTTGTCAATGCTGTAAAATATTTCTTGCAATCGTTAAATAAACGGCTATTTATTACATGTGACATGTTTCACAAGCAATATATAAAGCATGAAATATTTCGAAAGCACATGTACAATAAAACATATGCACGCGAGCTAAACGAATTGCAGTTCACCAAAGTTTAAGCACATTATAATAAGTACACAATAACAACGAGCACAATACATCATCATAGTAATTATTTAATATTTTTATGTAATCTGCGTACATAATTCATATATGTATATTATTATATGCATATATAATTTACGTGGGTATATGTACACAAATGTTGTGTCGAATAAATTAATATGATGACAATAATAATTTTAATTAAAAGAAGCCAGTATTGTCGTTGTTATTGTTAAGATTTGGGTCGGCAACGGTAATGAGTTCTGCAACTTGAAGATCAGAGACCGTCGTTTAAAAGAATATACAAAACAAGCACCGCTAACAACGACAAGAATAACTCCAGTTTAAAAGGAAAGAAGCCATAGCCCATATAATATTTCACGGAACGTTTTGGAGACGTTTACCGGAGATTTGTGCTGTGTGGTAGAAAAGCGAGGAAGAATAGAAATAAAAATAGTCTAGAATGCAACGATTATTACACATTATCGAAGATGTGTCACAGTTGAAACAGAAGCGTAACTAAATAGAATTGCTGCTGTCGCGGTCTCTATTTCGTATAAAGTGACGGCAGAGAAATTGGTCGCATTATTCGATACAGCATTCACGTTGCAACCCGAGCGAGCTCTTAACGCAGTCGAGAAGCATAAAATCGTAATATATACACTTTATGTGGCACTTCATTCATAAGTCGGAGATAAACGCGGGATTTATATACCGTTCACAACAAGATGCATAATAGTATCGCGGGCTTTTCCTCTCGGATGTTTTACATTTCGCCAATTTAATTTCCATTAAAAACAAACTCCGTGACATCGCGCTTATCGGCCGTTGGTTATCAGAGAAATGTAAAGCTTGATCGCGTTTGCCCGCACAATGTACGATCGCCTTCGCCGCTTTAATTACGAAAATAGCTCGATCCTGCTGATAGCGGCCGCGTTGTTTCGCGTTTCCGCGTATATGGTATACGCTTTATAAACAAGCGGCCCGAGATATCGCGGAGTAACATACGAGTACAGTCTAAAAAAAGCCACGGCTATGTACGTAATGCAATTACGGCGTGCGTGTCGAGAATTAAAAGCACACGAGTCGCAGCGATTACGCATTACGAAACTGTTGGAATGACTTCGATTGCCACCGATTGGGAATCTATTCAAAACAAAGCACGAAAGCGGATGACAATTGAGAATCGTAGCGCAGGTGTCCATCGACGCCGCAGAAAATATACGATTTCAGTATCGATCTTTCGAATTCTTGTAAAGAAGATATCGAGAAACGATCAATAAGTTGCCGGTAATATATTTACATTATTCATCGCGTCAAATGTGAATAATAACAATAGCAGTAGTTAATATGTCTTTAAAAACTTGGTATAATGAATATCTTTTAAACGATTCGCTGCAAAGTGCGATGTCGTTTGAGCGTTACACCTTATTGTTTTAACAATAATGTCGAGCATATCAAAAGTATGCCCGTAAGCAATCACATATTATGAAACTGATGTAATGGCCATGGTTTCGCAAGAGCGTAGTTAGAAAGCGTTACAGCCTGCGGAACGCGTCTTATCTATCTTTCCTTCTACGAGCGAACTCGAATGTGCATTTCACCCGGGTGGCTTGCATCTTTCCACGGCAGAATGAAGCGAAGTCTGAGATAGACACGCTAATCACAAACGCAATTACTGATACCGCGAACGTTTATCTTTGCATCGTCGGCCAAGTGTTCGATTCGGCGCAGTCGTGTGTGAGAAGCGGGAAGAAAACAATAGCTACCAGTTAAGTACCTAGGAATTCGATTTCTCGGAATTAATACAGTCGGCTTGAATGCACACACCATTCTAAGCGAAAATAAAAATCGAGACTATGTAATTTTTAAGATGTAATATTTATGGCAAAGGATGAATTAGCTTCGCCTTTCTCTTGGCGCTTATTGCTGCAATTATTATTAGATAAATCCTTCTTATAATTAACGTTATATAAGTCTTGTTAAATATGTATATTCACAATTCTGAATTTCACTTTAAATCGGAAAGGATTAAAAGTTTATGTTCTTTACTTAAACTTGACAGAATTAAAATGTAATCCTTTAAAATTACGCGTACGAACATGAAATACGTAAATTAAAATTGAACGCAATTATAAAATTGTGTTATTGTTGGTGGAGAAAAATAATTCTCTTGAAGCGAGAGTGACTTTTTTTGCCGGGTGTTTGAGTAAAACACTTTCTCGCTATTTGGTTCGTGTGTTTTTCGCTCAGGTATTTACTGACTTGTGAATGTGTAAAATCGCAACCGCGAGAACGTAAAACAGAGCGTGCCACGCGCAGTAACGTGTGTGCTGCGGGCATTCCATTGTGTCGTATGAATGAACCACGCTGGGAATACATTTCGACTGATCGATCAGCGTCCAAACTGTTCTCAGGCATCGAAGCGCAAATATAATTCTAGCCAATTGATGAAAAAGACGAATCACGCATTTGAAATTATACATAATTTTTAAACATTACTTCGCTTTAAGTCGACATTTTTATTTTAAAAAAATATATATAACTTTTGTGTACGTGTATGTGTAGATATACGTAAATAAATAAATTATTAGATCATTTATATTAACGTATTGTAAGATAACATCTTCTTTAAGCGACCAATAAATGCGCAGAGAAAAGAAAGAATAAAAAGTAGCTGTGACAAATTAGTCATAATAAAGTATAAAGTAAAAACTAAATTAAATAAAATGCATTAAAGCAAAGCAAAATGAAATTGAAATAAAACAATACAAAATAGAAGGAAATATGAAGAGAAGAGAAAATAGAGAGAAAAGAAAATGTGACAAACCAAAAAGAGAGGTAAATATGATACGAAATCATATCCCACAGTTCCAAAAATTACGTATACCAGTATACAAAATGCATTTAGATCGAAATTGCCACCACCTCATGTAACAAAGCACAATAGACTAGAATAATGTATGTTCTACATTATGTTGATATATAAATTACTGTATGTATATTTAGAGTTTTAGATCAGGTGACTTAAAGCTAAATCCTGAGTGGCTCTCGTAAGCAATCCAGTAGGAAAAGTAGTATCGTGTGCCGTTGGCTTTAGTAGTTAGAATTTAAGTAACAATGATTTTTCTTCCGATGCATTTTCTCGATTGAACAGAATTAATTGTTTATTTAATCGGTACCAATAAGTCCGCAGAATGATACACAAAACGTAGTAACAG